GTATACAATATACTGATTTGACGTATAAAATTTAACAAAAATTATGTATACATTATACTGATTAGACGTATAAATTCCGTATTTTTTTTGCATATGGAAAAAGTCAATTTTCAGTATCTTGTATATGGAATTATTTACGAATTTATTATACTGTTTTTCTATGTTTTTTATACGTTTTTAAATGTATTATTTCTGTATACTTTCCTTATACTGATTATTTATAGGGTAATATTCATTATAGTAGTAATTTTTTTTGTTTTCATATTTTATTTTATCTATAAAATTATGTTTATAAAAGAACTTAGCTTAAAGATAAAAAAGTATGATGCGTGGTTGATTACATTGAAAAAATAAATTAATATGTTATAAAATAAATCAGTAGCTGATAATTCTGAAGCTAAAAAATTATTAATAATTTATTGTCAAATGCTAAGCTATTCTTATCATGTGATTTATAAGTTATGTATAATCTAAGATTTTTCAATACCCTATCTCCTAAAATATTAGCTAATATATATCATTGCCCTAATGATATTACTTTATTATTTCTAATAGAGAGTTAATAATATCTTTAAAATAAAGATATTTAATTGTTAATGATAACTTAATTTCTTTTTTTAAGTCTGTAATTAGAAACTGTTATCTAAATAGATTTTAAGATATTGATCTTAATAAATTAGATTTTTTATATATAAATAAAAGAATCTAAAACTAGCTAACATTATAATCAATATTTTAAGAAATAATAATAAGATTAAAAAGAAGTTAGAATAAAATTAAAAAACTATAATATAAAATATGTAAGTATTTATTTAGAAGTTAAGAATCAGTAAAACTAATTAATATATTATGTTTAATATTTAGAATGACTTGAAAAATATATTTATAATACTGATCTTTATTTTTAAATAAATAGATTGACAATTTCTTTAAAATTCTGCTAAATAAAATCAATCAATTTAATTAAAAATAATAAAAATAGCAGAAATCATAAATTATATAAAATGAACAAAATATCTTTAATAAGAAGAACAAGGTATGATCTTCATATTGATGTGAATTATTTGGTTATTATTACGTTCTGATTATTCATAACAACCAAAGACTAAATAATTTATATTGCTAATTAATGATATTTTTTTTAGATTGAGTATAAGTATGAGATTCTATTTCTATATCTGAAGAAAATAATGAATAAGTTTATATACTAAGGTACCATGATAATACTTTAATTGAAATTTCTTCAATTTTTCTTAAGTTCAAAACTTATATTCTTGTGTAATACAAGTAATACTGAAGGTCAGAATCCTTTACCATTATTATTATCATCATAGCTCAAAGAATCTTACACAAAAAAAAGAAATAAATCTTATATATATTCATGATTTTTTGACTTAGACAATCAAGAAGCAAAAATGTTATTTTATTTGGAGAGTGGAATGAGATTCACTATGTATAAATAAAAGTTGATAGAACTTCCACAAAGTCCATGACGTGATTTTCCAACATGAGTTGAAGTTGTAATTAGCTTTTTATTTATTTTTCCAAAAACTTGATGATCTTAACAATTTCAAATGAAGTCCTTCAATGAGCTTTATACTGTATATGGGAGCTTTGCAATAGAAAGGGAGGAAACTCTAAAAAAATTAAAATTTTACTTTCTAAGCTAATTATGATTTTTTTTGTAAAATAAGTCCAGATTTAACATTAACTCAAAAAAAAATTTTTTTAGAGTTTCCTCCCTTTCTATTGCAAAGCTCCCATATAATCTTGAAAACATTATGATAGGGTGGGCCGAAATTATGATGAATATTTATTTTTATTAGCACGATCCTGTATATTTATTGAAAGTGTTGCGGATTATTTAAATCCTAATGGAACACTACAAAAGCAACATGGTTTGATATAAATGTGTTGGTCAACTGTCGGCGTGCTTCCTATGATTTGTTGTGATCATAGGATTTTTACTACTTTTTTTTACAGAAAACAATCATCAAATGAAGAGGTATCAACGAGAAAATACTAAAGAGAGCAAGTACACGTTGCAAGAATGTGGGGCGTAAAAAGATGAAAAAGATGGGATATCAGTATTTTGAATGTACAGTATATTAGTGATGTGGGAGTATGGAGAAATTGAAGTGGTTAAAGAAATTTAAAGCAACCAAATCACTTGCTGATAGTTATAAACTGGGAAAAGCCTTATATGCTTGGGCAAGAACGTCCAAACATAAGGAAACTGCTCGTGAACACTGTAATGCTCCATATGGTCATAAACCAATGTGACTTCGGGTTCACAATCTTCATCCACAAATTTATCACTAGACCTATCGTGTGCGGCATTTAGTTGATTATTTACCCAAGCAAAAAAAACACTTGTAAATTAAAATCTGACAGCGCTGCAAATATTTTTTACAATAACTTTGTATATCGAAAGAACTAACCAAAAAAAACAATTGGTCTTTATACATAAAAATATCATTAAAAAATTCAGTTTTTTTGATTAAATTCACGATATCTCGGGTCAATTTTGTTTATTGAGGAATCAAATAATACATAATAATACATGAAAAAAACAAAATTATACTGTAATTATTATTTGTTGATTCACCTAATAGAACATAAACTTGATCGAAGTTTTTTCATATAGTTTCCTTAATAAAGCACTATTATTGATCGTTATTATAGATTCGGCTTTACAATACTGTATATACACTGCCTACTTTGAGAAGATACATATATAGCAATGGAGTATTTCTGAACAGACGCATCTAAATGTTTATCCAGAACTACAAAATAAACTATAAAAATGTGAGTATTTGCGTCATCATCGTCAAGAATCAAGAAGAACGTTCGCCCAGTCATTGTGACTGTGGCCACGATGAGCTTACAATTTGTATCCTATTTACCATTTAAACTTCCAGGGGCGTGGAAGACATCGGATACAGCGAAGAACGTTCACAAGAATGTAGCCACGAAGAGCTTTCAATTCCTAGATTAATTTTCCACCTAGTGGCAGAGAAGCTTCGAATACACAACGACTCGACAAATACTCAATAATACTACTTACTCTCCTAAACTCAGCAATGGTTTATTCAATTATTCTTCCATTTTCACGGCAGGAGAATTTTAGAATTTTTAATATATACAGTATTTCAACCTCCCTTCACCTTGGTTGTTTCTCGTTCCTGTTATTTTTTCGTCGTCCGTTGAGATGCGATGATTATATTCCCACAAAATTTTGTTTTATCTTACCATAACTACAGTGTGTCCAGATGGACAAGACCTCATAGAAATTTCATAATTGCAAAATATTTTGAGAATTCGCAGAGCTACCCGATTTATATGGTAATCACGTGACTGAAAGTTAAATCATTAGGGTATGAGTGAAAATTAATATTTCATTTCCAGAATAAATTATAAAATTAGGAGAATAGTCAGGATGACTTTCTACTGCATATGATCATAAATATTTTTTAGGCTTAAATTATTTTGAAATTAATATAAATTTCCAAATCCTCCGAATTACGGTGATTAAATAATATTAGGGAACTGCATTTAAGAATGATATAATTTGTCCCATCCGTCCCGTGAGTAAAAAAACAAAACGTGTATAATCAATCGATCATCATTTTGCAAATACAAACCTTAGAAAAGATGATGAATCTTCGAAATATAACGATCAAAAATATAAAGTTATTTAAGAGGAATCATTTAAAGATGATTTTTCAAATTCAATACACCAATTCGGTTAAAATAGAAGAATCTTGTCTGGTAAATATATTTCTTTTTTTTTTTTTTTTAAAAAAAAAAAAGAATAACCAATTTCATTCATTCAAAAAAATTTTTAATAAAGCCAGAAAAACCAACTTGGTCAGTTCGTTCTCTTTTACCAACCACTTCCAGTATACTTTCTAAGCCGATAATTACACAAAAAGAATACGAATCAATACTAAATTTATCGAATTTACATTCAACTTCTTTAGAAAATTCACAATTGATTCAAGATATTAACATACTTTGCTATTTTGTTAAACACATTCAGGAAGTGGATGTTAGTGATATCGAACCTATGAGAAATGTTTGGGCTGGTGGCGTTAATTTAAATTTGCGTGAAGAGGAAGAAAATAATAAACAAGTAAATGATGAAAATCAAGGAAGAGTATTGTTGAAAAGTGCAAGTTTATTACATAATGAATTTTATGTTGTTAATAAAGCTGAGAATTAGAACAAAAGAATACATGATTGTTCAGATGTTTTGTATGATGAAAGTTTATTAGTGAATCGAGGTGTTTCATTTTTTTTAAATATTTTTGTTTTAGAAATTTTTTTTTTTTTTTAATAATATTTTTTCAAATAAAAAACCCAAAAAAAAAAAAAAAAAAAATTATCATCCTTTGTATTTAACTAAAATAAATAAATAATAAAAAAACTTAGTTGTTTAAACTCTTTTTTTTTTAAAACAAAAAAGAAAATCCAAGGAATATTTATATATAAAAAAAGAAAATTGCTCTTATTTAAAGGGAAGAATAAAATAAAAAACCCCAAAAGTATATATAAAATAAAAAAAAAAGATCCGACATGCGCTTCATTTCTTTTTTTTTCGCTTATAATTGAACTTTGGAAAAAAAAAATAATATCAATACCATACATAGGTGCTTAAGTTTGAAAGCATGCCATAAAATAAAGTGTTCTTATAAGAAGGATATTTAAAAAGGAATTAAGGCGATGTCTGCTTAGATGGTAATAAGCAACAAAAAAAACGCAGGGTGTATACAATCGAGATAATATGTAAATATGTATATTATATAATAAAGACAAATAAAACTTATTCACCATGAACAAAAGTCTTTGAAATTATTCAAGTATATTTTGGGAGCTATACATATTTATATTTGTTCACATCTAGCGAACTTATCCCATTAAAATACTCTAATAAGATCAAGAATTTATTCACAGTATTATTATATCCAACCAACCAACCACATAACCTGAAATTTCTTTAACCATTGAAATGCTAGCACTTCTTTGGTTCTTCACATACGAAGATTTTTTAGCATTGAATGCAAAAAAAGAGAAAAAAAAACAATGATAAATCTTGTTCCCAAATTCTCCATGATGCTTCGTTATACCTCTTATATAATATGTGCAATAAAAAATTAGTAATAAAATACAAGCAAAGTGTATATATAATTGGGAGTGATGAAAAAAAAAAAGAAAGAAAAGAAAAACTATGTATATATAATAAATGATAAAACCAAAGGTTCCTCTTCCGAGAAACGTATTTCACTTGTAACCTTAAAATACCATTATGACATATTATGAGGAGATCCAGATAGGCCACCGATTGATGAAGAATTGTTCAAATCCATTCTGTTTGAAATCGAACCGGAATTATTATCAATAGGTATTCCTGAGCTTGATAATTCCCGGACTCTAGATTCCAACTCTACATTGCGATTCTTATGTTGTTCTACCAATTGTTTATGTTGTTCTATCATCTGTTTAAGATGTCGGATGTAATCAACGGATTTACGAAGAATCACGCCTTTATTGGGTTTATTAGCTGAATCAATATATAAATCTGGTAATAAAGTTGACAACTCTTGAATCTTTTCGTTAATGTTATCCCGGCGACGACGTTCAACTTGAGAACACAATAAATAAAATTAATTACATTTTAACAATTTTTTTTTAAAAATAAAAAAATATATATATAGGTATCTATCTAACTCACCAGCATTATGCGACTCGCGTCGGCGACGTCTTTTCTCATATAATAAAGCCCTACACAATAATTACATTGACATAATTAATACGTTGAAAAATACAGATTCCTCAAGTAATCAGAAAAGAATATATAAGACTTTTCTTTTTTTTTTAAAAAAAAAGGAAAAATATATATTTGAAATTTTACATCCCATCAAAATAATTCACCGATCCGCATTAAAAAAAAACCAAGGCAAACAAGGCAATAATATAGTATAAAAAGAATATAGTATAAACAGAACCATTTTAGATTAATGAATACATACTGTTTTTGAACACTATCATTTTCATCGGAATCCAAATAGCCAGAAGCCATCAACTGCATATTTTCACCAGTAGCAGGAAATTGCAGTGAGCTTGGGTGAGCGCCTTGTTGAAAGTTATTGTTATCGAACCATTCACCTCCGAGTTGCACTGGTAGAGACATACTAATTTGAGTACCGAAACTGTTGTGAGGTTGTCTGAAGAATTTTGCATTTGAATTGTTCATGTTTGTCTTGACGTCCATTGGACCTATTGCAGAAGTAGTAGGAGCGCTCATTGGACTAAATTCTTCAACATACGAGTAGTCTAAGTTTTCAGCACCGTAAGAATAAATTGAAGCATTACCAGGGGACTCTCCAAAAGGTGAACCACTTTCTAAATGAGAGGTCGGTTTAAAAGATCGTCCGAAATCGTCAGGGTCAAAGCCGTCAGGATGAGTAGGTGGAGAACCAAGGGATGGTGTATTTGAAATTGGGGACATCACCGTATTTGAATTATCAAAGTCCATTTCTTGATTAAGGTCCGGAGAGTCTGTTTCTTGTTTTATAGGGTTTATATATAGTTGTTGTTGTTGTTGTTGTTGTTGTTGTTGTTGTTGTTGTTGAAGTTGTTGACCCATAGATAAAATTTGAGGGTCTATTGTGCTACTAGAAAAAGAGTTGTTTGAAAGAGTATTATTAGACTGATAGGAATTGTTGGGAGTTGGTGGTGCTCCATCGCTGGTGATTTGCTTTTGGTTTCTCAATTGAGTTTGTTGCAAGTGATAAGTGGTAGGATGCGCAAGACGAATAGGCTGTGGTGTTGATTGTTGTTGCGGCTGGGCTTGAACAAAAGCTCCCGTTGGGTTAAAGAAAGCTGCTTGTTCGGAATTCATTTGTACGTGTCTCTACTACTACTTGTTAACGTGTTTGATTTAAAAAGTTATTATTATTATTATTATCTTTCAATTACCAAAAGTAGGTTGGTTTTGAAAAATTTCTTAAAAAAAAAAACGTTGATTGCTAAAGAATATGGTGATAGAAAAAAGAAAAAGCTAAACGAAATTATAAAACAACTTGAAAGAAAAAAACACAGAAAAGAAATGTGGGGGAAAAAAATATAAAAAAAAATTATATATATATATTTTTCGACGCACAAAAAGAAAAGACCTTTTTTGATCAAACTTAAAAAACTATAATTGTTCAAATATTGGGATTTATGATATCATAGGTGATATACTGAAATTTAGGCTATTTTCGGAAGTATTCAAAAAAAAAAATTTTTTTTTCCTTTTTTTTTTTTGAATTAGCCATTTAAAAAATGTTTTCGGCTGTATTATGACACAATAAATTTATATTATCTAAAATAAATATTTTGATTCAATAATGAAATATCACCCCCTAACTATTATTATATAAAATTTTTTTTTTTTTTTTTATTTATACTTCCTTGAGATAAGAACTTTTATTTCTTTTTATGGGAAGCTCATCGAAATTCCATTCGTTTGAACGTTAGAGAAAGATGGGGAAAATAGGGTTGCTTTGATTTAGTTTAATATCTGTACTATAAAAGCTTTTTATTATTATTATTATTCTCCGTGTCACAACTTGATAAAATGAAAAAAAAAAATTTTTTTTACATCGGTTATAATTTACAATTAGTTCTTCAAGACCATAAAATTGTTCGTAGGAAGTTGTCTTTTATTTTCCGTTGCACCTTCCTTAATCATGGCAAAGTTTGAAACTAAACCAAATTTATTCCATATAAAGAGTCAAACATTAAAAGGAAGAATGAGCAACAGATGAACGAATGTGACATTTAATGGTGATCAAAATGCATTATTTTAAAGTACAAATCAGGTATTCGACTATCTAAAAAAAATTGGGTCCCGCTGCAGTTCTTTAATATAGCAATTAAGGTACCATATTTATATAAATGAATTCTCACTTTAAAAACTAGACCTGTTCGAATTGCTGGCGCAGCTCACAATCAAAAGTTATTTCCGATGGATTACAGGTACAAAGTTGATGTGCATAACGGCCACATCCTTTGTATGACTAAAAAAAGCCAAATTTTTCCCTCTTTAAATCCCCACATACACAAAAAGAAGCTTAAATTTTATGTCATCAAAATGCATTTATTGTAACAATTTGTACTCGGAGCATACAAAAAACGCAATCTCTAAATATTAGCGTGGGCAAATAAAAAAAAAAATAATAATAATCATTTTTTCTTTTTTCGTGTTTGATCTACTGCATATCAATCATCCTCATAAATTTAGTTAGCTCGAAAATCCTATTCTAATGGATTTTTTAATTCAAAGGAGTTCCTTTTTGTTTTGTACGCAATGCGGAATTGCAAGATTCACTTATTTACACGCGAACTCACAGTAAAATGCCAAATGCGATGACTCACAAATGTAAGTTTTTTCTAGTAAGGAAATCGGTTAGAAAATCGAGGACTTGGATCATTCGTTTCGGTTGGTATTTTTACAATAATCAAATTCAAGTTTAATCATACCCCTTGTTTCAATTATATCTTTAAGAGAGTTCAGCCCTAAATTCAGGAGATTTACAAACATGGATTTTTTCTTACCAAAATCAAATTAATTTCAAAAGTTTTATTTGGTTTTAATTGTATGAAGGATCTCTTCTTGCATCTTTTTCGCCCAAAGTTCTTTGCAGCTGAACACAAAACGCACAGTACTTTTTTTGTAACAAATTTAGATCTCTTTTTTTTGGGTGCTAGATAATCAATAATGTCGTACTTGTGTCACAAATACTCAACAAAAGGTTGAATTGTTCGATTTCCTGTTTGATTTCCTGTATTTTTGATAAAAATAAAATTAAAAAAATTTTTTTATCTATTAATTATATATTAAATTTTTCGTAAATCATAATACTAACCATACTAGTAAAAGGAAAAAGTAATTATATTTTAAAGTTGATTCCTTTATTTATTACTTGAAACTTGCAAAGAGTTATAAAACTTACAAAAGAGTTAATTACAACTTAAGCTAAAATCTATTCTAATTATACAAAATTAATTTGCTATAGCTAACTATTCGCTATGCTATAAACTAATTAAATTTGTAATTACAATTGTTAATATGAGATATAATGAATATATAAAGTATAATAAATATAAGTAAATATAATAAATATCATAAAATAATAAAAATAATAAAAATAAGTAAAATTAGAAATATCTGACTTATAAGAAATATAAAGGATATATTAAAAATCAGGTAAATTAAAAATTATGCAGATCTTTTAATTTGTAATCAACATAAAATTAATTTTAGTAATTTCTATAAATCAACTTTTTAATGATGCATTTTTAATTAATAATAACATATATTAGAGTATTATTTATGAGAAGAAGAATATTCTAATTTTGTCTTATTATTTAAATATTATGATTTTTGATATATTTGTTACTTATGTTTAACTTTTTTTATTCTAATAATAATCTACTAGAAAAGTCTTCTTATCAATATTTTTAAGAATTCAAGAATTTTATACTTATAGATGAATATTAAAATTAATATTTTACTTTTAGTTATATTATAAGTATATAGAATGATTATACAATTCTTTGATTGTTTATTCCAAATAATGGCTATTTAATATTATATGACTAGATTTTATTTTTCAAAATAAATATATTTCATCATAATTAACCATATCATTAGTATTATAATTCTTTAGAATATTAAAATTTTCTTTATATATTATATCAAGATCATTAAGTAATATACTTGCAGCTTTACTATATATATTATATTATCTCAAGTTATACTATTTTTAAAATTGTCTACCTATCTATTAAAACTTTTAATTTTATTTTCTTTAAATAAAAAAGTAAATCCTAAAGTCTTAATTAAAAAAATATGATTAATTATAATAAGATTAATTTGTAAAATATTTTCTTTTTAATAAGTTAAAGTTTTTTTAATAAAAGATTAAGTTTTTTTATATTTTAAATCAGATTTATATAAGTTATTATTATCAATAGTCCTTTTTTTTTAAAAGATTATAATCATATTTTATATAAATTTATAAATAATTTTAATATTATAGATTATAAATTTAAATAATTTAAATATATAATTTTTATTTTTTTATTTTTAATTATTTTTAATTTAATTTCTTATTAGCTACTTTAATAAGTCTATAAATTTAACTATTATATACTGAATAAAATATAAATTGATATGATAATTTTACATTTAATTTATATATATATTTTGATTATTCTAAAATATAAAATTTTTTATTTTATTATGTATTTTTTCAGGTTTATAAGTTAAATTTCAAAAAGATGATAATTTTTAGTCTAATTATTTTTTGATAGTTTAATGGTTTTATCATAATAATAATTTGCTAACTTTAAATTTAAACCATTATATATGCATTTTTGACATGTAAAACATATACTTATTTAATAATATTTTAGTGAAATTAAGTATAAATTATTTTTTAAAAAATAAAATAATATGATTTAATTATTTTATTTTAAAAATTCAACTATAATTTAATTATTCAATATTATTATTATATAAAATTTCAAGAATTTGAAACTTTTTTTTGTAATTATTATTTATTAAATTAATTTGAAAATAGTAATAAATAATACTAACTCTTTTTAAAAAAAAAAAAACCTTAATATAATATATATCATTCAAAATGAACTTCAAGGTTTTCTTAAGTTTTCCAAAACTTAATTAAGTTTAATCAAGTTTTAGATTTAAAAAAAGGCATTTTAAGATTACAAAAAAGTTTTTAAATTTTTAAACAATATGTTAAAATAGATTTTGAATAGCATTATTAATTAAAACTAATATCTTTGTTAATAATTTTATTTATGTTTATTATTTAAAATATTATTAAAAAATAAAAAAGTAAAAAAAAAGTTAATAAAAAAATTGAAAAGTCAATAAAATGTATAAGAAATAAATAATTTTTAAAAATATTAAACTAGAGAATAGGATCCGTTCAAAGTCTAAAGTATAGTATATAAATTATAATATCATATTTTACATGATTAATTATTTTATAATACAAAAATATAGCATGTAATAACATAAAATATTATTGGTTTATTAGGTTTGCTGAATTTAAATGAATAGAACAACTTTGCTTTTAAATGATTTAGAAGTAAAATGGCATCAACTATGCTTTAAACAATACAAGATTACAATTCATATAAAATTATATGATTATATAATTTGGTAAATATTTTTATATATAAAATAAATTTTAAAAACAAATTTTTTAAAGATAAACTATATAAAATTATAAGTTATATTAAAAATTATTAATAATTATATAATATAAATTATAATATTAATTTATAAAATATTTTTAATAATATTTCTTTTGTTAAAAAGAATTAAAAAAATTGATCTAAAATATAATTATAATTAAATTATTTCAAAAATATTTTAAATAATACTTTTAATCCTATTTTTTTTTTTTTAAAAAAAATTATTTTTAAATATTTTAATTTTTAAATTTTTTTTTAAATATAAACTAAGGTTGCTTGTCTAAACTCATTTTGGATTTGGCAAAAGTTTAAACCTTTAGTTTTGCTAAATTTTTACTAAGTGTTTAATATAGTTTCGCCATTTTTATAAGCTTCGATATAATTTTACTTTTTTTCAAATTTCGCAGATTTTTTAATAAGGTTTTAATATAATTTAACCAAGTTTTACTTTTTCCATTTAGACGTCTGTCTAAACTCTTGATTTCATCCAGCAACCTTAATATAAACTTTATAAGCTTTTACTTAACTATTATTTATTGTAAAATCATGAAAATAAGCACTTTTATTACTTTTATTATTATATTTTTAAAAATTAAAAATAAGAATCTTTAAAAATAAGCATCTTTT